AATCGAGCTAAGTGATCGGGCTCGGGCCGGGTCGGGCTTTATTTTTTAGGACAGATCTTATCTCTACCGTCAAGGCGTTTTTGGAATGGAAATTGTCGATTCATTGTGCAGAGACAAGACAGACATGCTCCTCCATTTACACCTCTCCTCTCCTCCTCACCGCTGCTTACTTAGCCTGCCCAACTCTGATTGGGAGGCAATCAGTTTATGCTAAACAAGCCTAAACATAATAACAGCCAATCAATGTCCGCTTCAGGCTGTGACTGACAGTTGTTTCCCCACCCTCAATTACCCGAACACCGGACGCCAACACATGAAAAGGCATACAGTATTATAAAAAGGCAACCCACCAACAGAAACAAGAATGTTACAGATTAAAATTTAGATTAATGCGATTAAAAACCAACACACGAAATGACTGTCATTAATTGTTCGCACTTAACGCGATAACTTGACAGCTCTATTAGTATTTCCAAAATAGTCCATGCAATGTTAAACGCTTGAACCCTAAGAAAATAAATTGAATGTTTTGAAACACAACCCGTTCAGGGTGCCCCTCGCCGAACTGATAACTACAGTACAGAAAAGAACTGTACACAGTTCAATATAAGTGCAATATAAAATATAGCATGAGCAATTATTTGTAGAATAAATATAATAAATTAGCAATAGCATAGAAAACCCAGCATAAGGTGGCTGTACTATTTACAATGGTTACAGGTTTTCACCTATGTTTATTCAATACCCTGACAGCAGTCGGTAGGAATGAGTGGCGGTATCTCTCCTTCTTGCAGCGCGGGTGTAACAGTCTCTGGCTGAAGGAGCTACCCAGTGCTGTCAGGGCGGGCTGGAGGTGGTGGGAGGGACTGTCCATCATAGCTTTTAGCTTAGCTAGCATCCTCCTGTTGCCCACCTCTTCCAGAGTGTCCAGGGAGCAGCTCAGAACAGAACTGGCCCTCCTGATCAGTCGCTGAAGTCTCTTTCTGTGCCGGGTCGAGATGCTGCCTGACCAGCAGACAACGCCATCTATCTAATGCCAGTTATCCTGCCGTGCGTGCAATAAACTGCATGAAAATAATCAAATTGAAAACGGGGCAAGAGAGGAGATTCCACTGTGCATCAAATATAAAAATAGATGCGTCAAACATATTTTAATTTTTTTCTGAGAGGAGTGCAAAACAGACATGTGCGACGTAAACACACAAAAATGCCCTGACGGGGCAAAGGTGGAAACGAGTCAGTTGTCACATACCTACATATGTAGTTTTGCTGTTCTGCCACAAGGTTTTGTGTGTATGCATAGTCAGAGCCATGCGTAAATGTACGCACATCCTCATGCACAAGACCAAATTGATAAATGCAGGCTTTACGAACAGTTCTGTGCATTATCAAACAATCTGTCACCAATGAGAAAAGAGGAACTTCACAAAAAATGTGAGCTGAAGATGCTGGGAAACGAAGACAAGTTGTGAAAAACTGTCAAAGCGGCCCAGAATTTGAACCCAGTGGTCAGTGCCCTGCATTTTCAAACCGGAGACATTGTGGCAGTGCGGTTTTGATCCCCAAGTAAACCACATCTGTCAAGAACATCCATCCATCCATTTTCCAATCCACCTTAACCTCACAAGGTTCAGGGGAGGCTGGAGCCTATCCCAGCTGTCTTCAGCCAGGAGGCTGAGTATACTCTGAACCAGCCACTGACAGCTTGCAACTGCCCTGCATCATCTGTTTGACTCGCTAACGGCTCTTTAAGCAGTAAAAACAAGAAAAAAACCCGCCAAAGATATATTGTGGAGCGCCGTATGATTCCCATGGTAATTTCACTCTTGATGCATTTGAACATGAGTGTGGAAATTGGCCCTTTGTACATGAGGCCCCAGGTCTGGAACCGTTATTTACGTGGACTGTAAACTAATCACACAAAACAATAAAGTTTTGCCGTTTTACACAAAATCCAATGCAGTTATATGAGTTGGTGCAATCTCTTTCTTTCTTGACACAAGATTTTCAGGTCCAAAACACAAATCATAGTCAATGTCTTCAAATTATATTTTGACGGCAAATGAAATCATCCATCCATCCATTCATTTTCCATTAACCAGTTGATCACCGGGCCACCCAAATGAAATCAGCAGGGGGAAAATGCAAAATTAAGTTGAGCAAATAAGCGTCCTAAAATAACAACATTGTAAATTATTGACACAGCCGATTGTAGTTGAGACAAGTACAAAACCTTTTCATCACACAAAATGCCACAAGACCGACGCAAAATAACTTACATAACAATGCTATCTCTAACAGGGTTAATAATTTCTTTATGTTCCAATCTGTTATCATTGGGGGCGCGACGTTCATTAATACAAGGGACTCTCAGACTCTTTTGAATGCCATTTCACAGCAACGGAATTGATAAGAGAAACAGTGGCTCAATCTGTAGTGACCTGACTTTGAACTGGTGGGTGAAAACATTTCAAATCCCACTTAAGACTGAATAAAATGTGAAATTGAAACAGGTGGTTGTCGAGACAAGACGATCTGATTCACACCTTCAACCTCACTGTCAAAGTACCCTGAAGCAAGGCACCAAAATTACCCCCAAATTCAACACGTCACCTGTGACATCTTAGAGCTGCACCTCGCTTGACTGTCTTCTCGAGCCTCACAAAACTTCAGCTTTTCAACTTTATTGAGCATCGAAAGTATGAACTCGAAAATTGCATTTCTTTTTTTTTTTGCGTCAGATTTCTTGTGATGCTGTATGGTGGCAAATTGTATCGATGATGAATCAAAGGTAGGAATCTGAAACGGACAAGCGACCTAAAGCCAGCCACACTGCGGATTGCAGTCGTACGTGCGGCAAACAGTAAAAGAACATTTCATCTGTGTTTAATTGAAAGAAGAGACAAATCAAGAGAGTCGTACATCTGCCACATTACGTAACATACAGAATAATATGCATTTCGTATTCTCATAATGTTGGCACTCAAATGATGAATTGTCCTATTGACCTGTAATAAATCTCAACGTCTGTCTGACTAAAACGCAGGTTTGACCATTGATCTCAAACCATATAGGAAGAATTATCAAGATTGTGTGTCCAATCAGGTCATGTTATTAAGCCTCACAACAACGCGGGTGAACAGCAACACATTCTATATCACCCGCCTTTGATGATTTGAGAGGAATGATAGCCACCTCCACTGTATATAAGTACAGCTCCTAACTGGTGAACTTTAGGTTCTTCTGCTGACCCAAGGTAAGCTTGCAAAGGAATTTAATGACTGCCCTCTCTTTTCATTGAGGTTGAGACAGGCTAGTTAAAAAAATTGCAAATTAATTACCAACATTCTTGGAAAGGAGTCATTCAATACCGTACCGTTGAAATGAGTTATTTTTTTTGGGGGGGGCGGGGGTGGTGTTTGAAAATGTAAAACTTTTTACATGACCTAATGGCCTCCATTCACGTAGCACTTCTGGCTGGCTTATAAAATGTGGAGTGACAAAACATCAAACTTGAAATAATATTTAATATTATTATTCTGATTATTATTTGAAAGTTAAAACCGGGCGGCCCGGTAAGCGAGTGGTTTGCGCGTCGACCTCACAGTGCAGAGCTCCGGCCTTCCTGTGTGGAGTTTGCATGTTCTCCCCGGGCCTGCATAGGTTTTCTCCGGGTATTCCGGTTTCCTCCCACACTCCCAAAACATGTATAGCAGGCTGATTGAACACTCTAAATTGTTCCTAGGTGTGAGTGTGAGCGCGGCTAGTTTTTCGTCTGTGTGACCCTGGGATTGGCTGGCAACTAGTTCAGGGCGTCCCCCACCTACGGCCCGAAGACAGCTGGGATAGGCTCCAGCCCCACCAACCCTTGTGAGGATAAAGCGGATCAGAAAATGGATGGATGGATGGATGGAAATGTAAAACTATGTTGACACTGAACATGATGATGTTGGCAGAAGATATCTTGTTATCTTTGAAAACTAAAAGGTGCCATTTCGACCTCGAAAAGCACCAAACTACTGAGTATACTTATGACACAACCCCACGTTACGGCGAATGAGATAAAAGAAGTTCTTTTTCAGTCAGATGGTTCCCAGTAGTTTATCATGTTTTGACAGCAGAAATTGTTATGCAATCTGAACTTTGTGCCAGCAATGCTTCATGCATTACTGTGCATAGGGGCCATTCAAGCAAGAATAATCCGTCAAAAGAAAAAAAAAAGTCTCTAAAAGGATTTCTTGTATGTCGTTATCAGTAAATTTGTCGCTTTGGGGTCAAGATGACGAAGTTCACCATTCTCACCGGTAAACACTCAACGCAAAACACCTTACTGATGTTTTAATACATTACTACCAAGACATGTATGCTTATATTGACACGTATAAATTTTTTTAATTGCTTTTTTTTTTTTTTTTGCTTCTTCAGGGCTGTGCCTGTTGATGTGCCAACTGGGTAACGTTGATGTCATAAAAAATACCTGTTTAATGTTACCACATTTTTGCCAATAATTTTGTTCCTCTCCATTCAGCAACTGCCTCCCAGATGGTGTGTTACTTTACCAACTGGTCCCAGTACAGGCCCGGCGCTGGCAAATACATGCCTCAGAACGTCGATCCATTTCTGTGCACCCATCTGATATATGCTTTCTCCATCATCAACAACAAAAATGAGCTGGTCACATACGAATGGAATGATGAGACCCTTTACAAAACCTTCAATGGTCTGAAGAGCAAGTATGATGATGTCATATTCTGTAACAACTGTAAAAGAATTTTCTTTTAAGATACACATTGGCAGCCGATTTCATTTCCATGAGCAAAACTTTTCGTTTTAAAGGAACCCGGGTCTGAAGACTTTACTTGCCGTTGGAGGATGGAACTTTGGCTCAACTCAGTAAGTCCTTGTGCTGTTATTCTACCACCTCCATGGTGATATCTACAAAGAGAGAGAGACAAACGTTTCCATCTCTCCAGGTTTTCCATCATGGTGTCCACTCCGGCCAACCGCCAGAAATTCATTCAATCTTCAATCAAGTTTCTGAGGACTCATGGATTTGATGGATTGGATTTGGACTGGGAGTACCCGGGATCTCGTGGAAGCCCCCCAGAGGACAAGAAGAGGTTTACTTTACTCTGCAAGGTGACACGTGATTTTTTTTTTTCCCAAGCAACATGTTTACTGTCTCGATGAGACAAAATATATCATGAGAAATGTATGTATGCATTAAAAGGAACTTGTTGAAGCCTATGCAGCTGAAGCGAAAACCACTGGCAAATCTCAACTGATGTTGACCGCTGCAGTGTCAGCAGGAAAGGGAACAATCGACGCAGGTTACGAAATTGCACAGATCGCGAAGTACGTAACACCCCAAAAAAATTCAAGTCATTTATCAAGTCAATCTGTGTTCGCAAAACATCACATGATATCTCAGTGCGGTTTGTTTTAGTACATATTTACGCTCTTAAGGTATCTGGACTTCATCAATGTGATGACATATGATTTCCACGGAACTTGGGAGCGAGTTACGGGGCACAACAGCCCCCTGTACCGCGGGTCTCAAGACTTTGGTGACCTCATCTACTTTAACACCGTAAGTTGCGACACTGACCACCTTACTTTCAGTATGATCTCCAATAACAGTATGATTTGGAAATCGATAAAGGTATTTTGTTTTTTCAAATCTCACACAGTTCTCATAGAATTTGTCATTCTATTACCTTCTCAAGTCTGACACCCCTGATAAAGTCTTAATGGTAAATGGCATGTGAAAATGTTGGTGCATTTTGGACACTTTTGGTGTACAACCATCCGCAGGCTGAATAGTAATGATTTCAGAACAAACTAATTGCTATTTCTGGCTCAGGACTATGCCATGAAGTATTGGCGAGATCAAGGTACCCCAGTGGAGAAACTGAGGATGGGTTTTGCTGCCTATGGTCGTACATTCCGTCTGGCATCCTCAAACACCGGAGTCGGAGCCCCTGCGAGTGGTGCGGCATCAGCTGGTCCTTTCACCCGAGAAGCTGGATTCTGGTCCTACTATGAGGTCAAATAAAATGGGATCCATACAAATGTGAGTGCAGAAAGTGGCTCTTGAGATATTCAAATATTTTTTTTCCCTCCCTCCCTTTAGATCTGTAATTTCCTTCAGGGCGCCAATGTTCAGTGGATCGACGACCAGAAAGTTCCATATGCCAGCAAAAACAATGAGTGGGTGGGATTTGATAACCAGAAAAGCTATGAGATTAAGGTAGATGAAGCATCACACTGCATACATGGTGAACCCAATACTTTATATTGTTAAAAACTTCTTGTCCAACTTCTTCAATCAAAAGGTCCAATACATGAAGAACATGAAATTTGGTGGTGCTTTCGTGTGGGCACTGGATCTGGATGATTTCAGAGGAGAGTTCTGTGGACAGGGCGCCCATCCCTTGCTGGCCCATCTGCGAAAACTGGTGGCTGGTATGTTTTTGAAAGACAAGAAATGATCACTTAGGTCTTTTCAAGTTCCTATTTCTCGGCCCAATTCCAACGCCTGCTATTTCTACCTCTTACAGACATACCACCAATCCCACCAACCACAACACAGAAACCGAGCGTAACAACCACGAGACCAGTCATTACTACAACCTCCAAACCCGTAGCAACCACAAGACCAGTCATTCCCACAACCTCCAAACCTGCAACATCCACTGCCGCACCAACCACAATGACAACCCACAAACCGAGTAGCACCACCGCTGCTCCATCTACTAAGACCACAATTCCCATCCCAGGACGTGGCTTCTGCAAAGATAAGCCCGATGGCACCTATGCCAACCCAAATGACAAAACCAGTTTCTATGTGTGTGCAGGGGGCAGAACCTACCTCAGAAAGTGTGGTGTTGGCACTGTCTTTGATGACAGCTGCAAGTGCTGTATATGGCCCTAAAAGTTCACACCTGTCATTTGTCAGATCTCAGTGTTCAGTCTAAACTAATGGTTTTGTGCAAAGATTGTAAAAGTGCTTGAAAGGCATTAGGTTGTAGTTTTGTTGTGCATATGTTCGTGTGTGTGTGTGTGTGTGTGTGTGTGTGTGTGTGTGTGTGTGTGTGTGTGTCTGCGTGTGTGTGTGTGTGTGTTTGTTTTATCTGTTTGCAGAGAGTTTGAATTTCAGTGGTCCGATGAAATGTTCACAAAACAACATTGAGCAAAGCGACTGAAATCGAATAAAGAAGCTATATTTAATGCTTTGCCTTTGATTTGACTCCTTTGCATGTTGGAGATGGTCTTGCCTGAACATAAAATGAGGAATATTTTTTGTGCAGTTTTGGGTTTGTTATTTGGGCTGTAGACATTTCCAAAGAAACAATACCAAGAAAAGTCAAATAGTAATGAGAGATACTAAGCTTATGAAGATGTTTCCATCTAATTGTAATTATTGTGACTTTTTTTTTTTTGCTGCTTCAGCCCACCCAATAACCATCGTTATTAATTAATATCTATTACAAAACCACATTTCCATCTAATTGTAATTATTGTGACTTTTTTTTTTTTGCTGCTTCAGCCCACCCAATAACCATCGTTATTAATTAATATCTATTACAAAACCACATTTCCATCTAATTGTAATTATTGTGACTTTTTTTTTTTTGCTGCTTCAGCCCACCCAATAACCATCGTTATTAATTAATATCTATTACAAAACCACATTTCCATCTAATTGTAATTATTGTGACTTTTTTTTTTTTGCTGCTTCAGCCCACCCAATAACCATCGTTATTAATTAATATCTATTACAAAACCACATTTCCATCTAATTGTAATTATTGTGACTTTTTTTTTTTTGCTGCTTCAGCCCACCCAATAACCATCGTTATTAATTAATATCTATTACAAAACCACATTTCCATCTAATTGTAATTATTGTGACTTTTTTTTTTTTGCTGCTTCAGCCCACCCAATAACCATCGTTATTAATTAATATCTATTACAAAACCACATTTCCATCTAATTGTAATTATTGTGACTTTTTTTTTTTTGCTGCTTCAGCCCACCCAATAACCATCGTTATTAATTAATATCTATTACAAAACCACATTTCCATCTAATTGTAATTATTGTGACTTTTTTTTTTTTGCTGCTTCAGCCCACCCAATAACCATCGTTATTAATTAATATCTATTACAAAACCACATTTCCATCTAATTGTAATTATTGTGACTTTTTTTTTTTTGCTGCTTCAGCCCACCCAATAACCATCGTTATTAATTAATATCTATTACAAAACCACATTTCCATCTAATTGTAATTATTGTGACTTTTTTTTTTTTGCTGCTTCAGCCCACCCAATAACCATCGTTATTAATTAATATCTATTACAAAACCACATTTCCATCTAATTGTAATTATTGTGACTTTTTTTTTTTTGCTGCTTCAGCCCACCCAATAACCATCGTTATTAATTAATATCTATTACAAAACCACATTTCCATCTAATTGTAATTATTGTGACTTTTTTTTTTTTGCTGCTTCAGCCCACCCAATAACCATCGTTATTAATTAATATCTATTACAAAACCACATTTCCATCTAATTGTAATTATTGTGACTTTTTTTTTTTTGCTGCTTCAGCCCACCCAATAACCATCGTTATTAATTAATATCTATTACAAAACCACATTTCCATCTAATTGTAATTATTGTGACTTTTTTTTTTTTGCTGCTTCAGCCCACCCAATAACCATCGTTATTAATTAATATCTATTACAAAACCACATTTCCATCTAATTGTAATTATTGTGACTTTTTTTTTTTTGCTGCTTCAGCCCACCCAATAACCATCGTTATTAATTAATATCTATTACAAAACCACATTTCCATCTAATTGTAATTATTGTGACTTTTTTTTTTTTGCTGCTTCAGCCCACCCAATAACCATCGTTATTAATTAATATCTATTACAAAACCACATTTCCATCTAATTGTAATTATTGTGACTTTTTTTTTTTTGCTGCTTCAGCCCACCCAATAACCATCGTTATTAATTAATATCTATTACAAAACCACATTTCCATCTAATTGTAATTATTGTGACTTTTTTTTTTTTGCTGCTTCAGCCCACCCAATAACCATCGTTATTAATTAATATCTATTACAAAACCACATTTCCATCTAATTGTAATTATTGTGACTTTTTTTTTTTTGCTGCTTCAGCCCACCCAATAACCATCGTTATTAATTAATATCTATTACAAAACCACATTTCCATCTAATTGTAATTATTGTGACTTTTTTTTTTTTGCTGCTTCAGCCCACCCAATAACCATCGTTATTAATTAATATCTATTACAAAACCACATTTCCATCTAATTGTAATTATTGTGACTTTTTTTTTTTTGCTGCTTCAGCCCACCCAATAACCATCGTTATTAATTAATATCTATTACAAAACCACATTTCCATCTAATTGTAATTATTGTGACTTTTTTTTTTTTGCTGCTTCAGCCCACCCAATAACCATCGTTATTAATTAATATCTATTACAAAACCACATTTCCATCTAATTGTAATTATTGTGACTTTTTTTTTTTTGCTGCTTCAGCCCACCCAATAACCATCGTTATTAATTAATATCTATTACAAAACCACATTTCCATCTAATTGTAATTATTGTGACTTTTTTTTTTTTGCTGCTTCAGCCCACCCAATAACCATCGTTATTAATTAATATCTATTACAAAACCACATTTCCATCTAATTGTAATTATTGTGACTTTTTTTTTTTTGCTGCTTCAGCCCACCCAATAACCATCGTTATTAATTAATATCTATTACAAAACCACATTTCCATCTAATTGTAATTATTGTGACTTTTTTTTTTTTGCTGCTTCAGCCCACCCAATAACCATCGTTATTAATTAATATCTATTACAAAACCACATTTCCATCTAATTGTAATTATTGTGACTTTTTTTTTTTTTTTTTTGCTGCTTCAGCCCACCCAATAACAATCGTTATTAATTAATATCTATTACAAAACCACATTTCCATCTAATTGTAATTATTGTGACTTTTTTTTTTTTGCTGCCTTCAGCCCACCCAATAACAATCGTTATTAATTAACATCTATTACAAAACC